AGATGACTGTAAATCCAATATTCACTATTTATTAGGCTTTGTTTTGGTCTCCATCAACTTAGGATAACATCTGTTTTTTGGTCGCTAAGAGCTCCACTGTTTTCACCAGCGAGTTTCTAACTACCACCACATTTACACATCACGTCACTTCATGCATCTTTGGCAGCACTGACAACTCTTCAATTTCAAAGTGTAAAATGCATCCAAGAAGCTTTTGAGATGGACTGAATTTCAATCTCTCAAAGCACCTCCAGCCTCCAGCTTAACCACTGAATTATCTGTAAGTGTGAGGAAGCAGTGTGAAATGTAAATGAGGTTCTGGTCTGTTTGCTGTTTGGTGCAGGAGAGGTCTACAGGAGTTTCTAATTTTACTTTTTTTTAAAAACTGAAAACAGCTGTTTTTTTGGAAATTATGCTATTGGCAGCAGTGAGTGTGAACCAAAACAGTAAAATTGCACAATGAACTGAACGATTGTAAAATCTCCAATAGTGCTTTGAAAAACTACAGAGGGATATTAATTATTTCTGAGTCTGACACCATGAGAATCATTTTGCACATTTTATGTTGTGTTTTCATTGTCAATATAATAGCATAGTTTAGGGCAGCCCTATTTTATACTTTTTCAGAAGATTAAATTTTTAAGAGTGTACCTTAGATCTGAATCTAAATCATAGCACTTCATAGACACACATACACACTGTGCTTGAGTTTCACAATCTCTTTACCCCTCATTATTTCTAACTATTTATTGTTCTAATTTCAAGAAACTTTTGTCATGACTTGTTGTTATTGCACAACCTTGAAGTCGCTTTGCATTTTACTGCCCAAACTATATGAACATGTGACAAATAAAAACTCCCTATCCTTAAATTTTGGTTAACCCAACAAATTTTCTACATACCATAACACAACAACACATTCCCTCTCATACAAAAGTACTATAAGGACAAACGGTTCATGACCAATTCTTGTAATTATATTGTATTAGTTTGAAAACTTGTCAGGAATAATTGGACAGCCAATAAAATGCAAATTTATTGTGATTTCTTCATAAAGTTGAGTTTTAGCAGTTTAAGTCCGGCCTTGATTTGAAGGTTAAACATGCAATATACTGATGAAGTTAAATATCTCATTTAGGGTGTGGCAGTTACATCAGAGCCTGCCACTATCCTGTCATGTGGAGACAGATGTGTATACACACATGAAAGTTTGAGCGTATGCAAATACTAACGGACAAAACTTGCCACAGGGAATGAACGTCAACTGGTGCTGTGCGTTAATTCGCAGGGACAAACTCATCATCTTGATGGTTGAGTGATATGGTTACAGCCCTGTGGAGCCAAGAGGGGTGTCAGTATCACACTCTATACCCAGACCGCTCTCAAATCTGGATCTCATTAGGCCTGTAGCCTGCCAGTGCTGGACTAAACACATCCAGCCGGCAGCCGCACTCACCCAACAAAGCTTCAGCGCTGAGACGCAGCCAAGCCGAGAGAAAAATACCGGATCACCAATAGAGTGCTCAGTGACCTGAACCACCCCTACAGTCGAGGATGGAAACCACTGAATGAAAACTGCAGATGGGTTCAGAAGTCTGCTGTCTGAGAAAACACAAAGAAAACAGATGTAAACGCAATACGAGTGTAGTTGCATGCATGAGCACAAACAGGGATCTTCAGTGGTTTTCTCTTCAACCAAGGTGTTATCTGCTGTTATCACTGTAATTGGACCAATAGGTGGTCATTTCCTGCAAGAAAGCAGCTTAATTGTGATGACTCACTGAATCTCCCTTGAACTGCTCAGCCATTGTCAAAAGAGGACCAGATTGCCTGTACCTCTGTTCCACAATCACCTCCCCCCCTTTCAACTTTTCCTCTGAACTCATTCCTGAACTCATCCCTCTTTCTGAAGCTCCACTGTACCTGGCAAACTCCTTTAAAAGAACGCAGGTCTTCATATATCACCCCTGAGTGGCCCCCAAGCCGCTGCAAGTTGGCTGGAAAATCCAAACAAACAAAACGCTGATGAGTGGGTTGGGCTGTCTTAAGTCATGCAATGAGAGCATCGAGGGATTGGACACTGGAAAAGAGACATCAGTGAGTCTGTAAGGGACATGTGGAGCGGATGTGTATGTCTGAGTCAGAAAGAGACACAATTGCAAGCAGTCAGGAATGTCTTCTTATCATCACAGACCTGGCCTGGCTGCTCTGATTTGAGGGACTTATCAGTGGATAAGGACTGAAGGCTGAGTGGTGATAGATTGCAGGAGGGTGAGCAGAGTGATAGCCTCAGAGAGACCCCAGCCTCAAGTGTTGAGAACCTGGCAGGCAAAGACCATTTAGATGGTGTCTTAAAGCCCAACATGCCACGCTCATATCTTTGCCTCTTAAGTCATCAAAGCCTCAGCTCTCATGAATATCTCACAGGCAAAGGCTGAAGCTGTGAAATAACGTCTGGTATTTTCAAGTCTTATTGCACTGAGAGGAAGTATGGGTAAGGTTCATGTGTAGGACAAAAATCACTTTAAAAAAGTGAAATAAATACTATGATGCCATCAGAGTTATGCTTCCAACTCTCTAACTGTAGGTGGTCCTGATTTTCCTAGAATTTTTCAATGGCAGCGTACATCTATTTTTCACAACCGCATCTCTCCACAGAGGCTGAGAAACATCAAGGATGTAAAAATATTAGCACTGCATTTGAAACTCTGTCGGAGCTGCCAGCCTAGAGGAGCCATCGCTCATTGTATAGAATCAAATCTGTGGCTGTGGTCCATCAAAAATAAACCCCTGTGCACCACAAACAAGTCCTGTTGGTCACATAACTAGTCCATCACAGTCAACGTTACATGCACAGCCAAGAGGAGCTGGCTCAGCTAAAAGCATCGCAGCGGTGTGTGTGGCCAAAAACATACATTGTGAATACCAGAGAGGGAGATTTATGCACTGCGTTGCCAGTATTCATTTGCAAAAAAATTGTAGCGCATGAAAGACGGAAACATATGAAGAAAACTGACAAGAGAGACTGAAAAAAAAACTGTGATGGTGAGAGAAAGCAACAAGGGAAGAAACACAGACCAGCTGAGAAACCTTAAAAGGATCAGAAAGAAGAGATGAAAGAGGACAGCTTTTCCTCCCTGTGCATGGTAGTAAGTCCTGTCCGTCTGTTAGGCATCTCATCCTCAGTGTCAGACTCCCGTTTCTGTCTTTGAGACTTTGATGTGAAGAATCCGCACTCACCCTGACAGGATATTGCACTTTAATGATCTCCTCATAGGACTCCCCTCCTACACACAGCGGTGTAGACAGCAAGGAGTGTGACCAAAACTGCTAACATTTACACACTCAAACACACTTAAACCACTGCAAGAAAGTTCACCCAAGTCTTTTGCTAAACTCACAAACAGATACAAGACATGCATATACATGTAGGTGCTATAAACCTTCTGTACATGCTCAAGTGTGTGCAGGAACGATATTAACTGGTTGCAGTGCAGTAAATAGCACGGAACCTGGTGCATTCAAAGGCCATTGTCACCCTTTGTGATGCGAAGAAGTTCATGTTTCAGTTACTGAGCACACTGACGTTTCAATTTGTTGCCTAAGGGTGACTGATGTGTTGATGTGTGTCCGTATTTCAACCGTCACATTTAACTGACATTATCAGCAGCTTGACAAGCACTTTTGACCCTGTGAGGAAACAAACATGAAATTTGAATGAAGAGCACGTGAGACGGAGAGAGTCAGAGGGAGAGATGAAATGATGACCGAGAATGAAAGAAAGAAAGCGATAGTTATGTATCGCCCACACTTACAGACTTACAGACAGACACAGACTTACAGAAACGGAGCCACAGGACCCTTCAGTTAATCCCACAACAAACAGGTTTGGTAAAAGCCAGCCTCTGTTTGAATAGTGAAACTATCGGAGGAGTAGCTGGCTAAAGAGCAGGATTTCCAACTGCAAAAACGCTGTGGGCGAGGAAAGTTGTTTGAGTCACAGTTGTTTCACATGAGTTCAGTCACTTTGTATGTTACTGCATGTGCACAATCGTGTGTGCATGAATAATAGGGACAGCATGTGCACCGTACCAAACCCTGCCTTGGAAACCCACAACAAACACATACATTTTTTAAAATCTTGCTTATACAGCATCCCTCTCACCTCTCCCCCTGCTTTATTTTGTCCTGACAAACCTTCTGCAGGCCCTGCAGGGGCTCGCAGGTGAGCCGCTGCAGCGTGTCAAAGCTTGTTGCGATCGCTCTGACAGACTCTGGGAACTGGGATGTCACAAAGCAGTCCACATGAACCATGTGAATTACATTCGCTTCACTTCTCTGACCTGCTTTTTTGAATTCAAAACTGGTTTTTCCAGCAAAATACTAATCTTTAATGTTTTTCAAAAGTTTATTTAGGGAACATGACCACTTGAACTAACCCTTTATTTTATTGTTGTCAGTGCATTTTCTGATGTTGACAGTTGTTTTAGTATTTTTCAGTTGTTAAGCTGACAACATCTGGAATCTTTGTAGTTAAAATATTATGTATTGCATGCAACTAACTTAAGGGAAAATTTGAGAAGGGGGTTGTGTAAGTAACGTTATCTACTTTTCTTTTGCTGTTATCATGTTTTTCCAAAGAGGAAGTTGTCATGCAGATATCAGGAAGACTGTTTATAACCCTTCACTGCTAGGTCTGTTGATCAGCGACATAGAACTTTGAAAAGTAAAGAAAAGCTACAGCTGTTGTGTAATTAGAGCTATTGATTACAGTGATGACATCAATAAAATCTGAATGTAATTATCGCTCCATGTCCTCCTCATCTGTCAGCTGCAGAGAACAGATCTTAAGAAGCAGCATGCTTCTGTGTGTTCATGCATCTAAATGTATGTGAATGCAGGAGCGGGAGAGAGGAAGAGGGAAGGAGGGGGAGAGAGAGAGTTAGAGTTTAGACCAACCCCCTGAGCTGTTGCAAGTTTCAACTAAGGTCTCATTTCACTCCCTCTGTCTTGTCAGTTTGACTGTAACTTAGTTGGTGCTCATGTTTGGATTCTCTTGACTGAAAAAGCTGATGAAGTGCAGGATAAGGGCAGCGCTATAACAATTCCAAGGTAATTTCTTCATAATTCCCAATATGTGATAGATGATCAGTGTTGTTGGTTTTACTTTCTTTTTTTTTTTATACAGTTTTCATCATTTAGCATTTATACAACTCAGAATAGAACGCAAAAACAATGATTATCTTCAGGGTTTTATACTTTTTTGTAATTTGTCTAAAAAAATAAATTGCTGTAACTTACAACATTTACATTTAAAAGAAAGGCTGCTGAAACCTCTGAACTAAATTTTATAGGTGGTTTTAAGGGAAACTTTTTTTTAATGTTAATACATTTTTTTGTTTATTTTAAGCAAAAAAAAATAGGAAGTACTCAAATAACTTCATACATAATTCAACATCTAACTATTGGTATTCATTTTTGCTCTCCATTCATATTTTCATGCTTGGTCTAGATCCAATCTGTAATGTGGAGGGAAGTGACGCTCAGCTGTGTGTGTCCATGTGAACAAATTACACTTATTTCCCAAATTCTTGGCAGCACATTGAATGGGTTAAAGTCTCCAGACCATTTGTTAAATGTTAACATATGACTCAAGGAGAGAGAAAAACATTCCTTGACACGAAGAGACTCAGAGGAATGCAACCTCAATCACCCCCCCCCCATTATTTGAAACCTAACAGTGCAAACCTTTCAATGTATTCCTGATTATAGTTTGCAAATAGCATAAACTTTAGAGAAGCTCTTTTACTCTTTTAAACGTTGACGGTTTAAAGTATATTTACATGTGTGTGTGACGGCTTCAAACACGCCTCGTCTATACTGTGAAAATCAGCTGCACGTGGGCCAAATTAAGCATACATGTTGTGATGGTTCTTGTCTAACAACCTTACAGTGACTGACACGCTTGAAACACAATTGGAAAAACTAAATTTTTGTTTGACATTAAATGGTCCCTCTGACCTTTAGTATCACATCCCCCTGAATGCAAACAGCAGTAATAGCTTGGTCTTCTGATGTCATAACTGTGTTTAAGTTTCCTATCATCAGTTTACTGTCAAAAGGCATATATATTTTACTGTATAAGTCAAAGCAAAAGGCATTTTTTCCATTTCAGTAAATACATTAACAGATGAAACGTTTGCTGTCTGTGGATTTGTGACTCATGTATTTTGACTCATTGCATTGAAAGCAGCTCAAGGTCACTGTAATGTCAGTCAGAAACTTATTTGAAATGAACGAATGTTAACTTAATTACATTTAAGTGTGAGAGATTTTTTAATGATTAAGGGTTCAGCTGTTGGTGGTTCTGCAGCCCTTCTTTCCATCAACTTCATTCTTTTTTCCTTTCGTTCTGCAGTGGCTGAACTTCTAACCAGCCAGAGCTCAAGAGCACCGTCTTCTGGCAGAAAAGGATTTGGGTGGATTACAGTGTAACAACTCCATCTAATCCCTCCATTTACTGATGCAAGACATCTTTTGTGTAACTTTTTGACAAATTCTTCACCACTCTTACTGCCAAAAACACAGCAAACAAAAATGACTTTATAGTCACTGACTGCATTAGGAACAGAAGAAAGGCAACATCAAGCATGGAGTCTTTAAGTTCTCATGCAGGGACTCTCCCTTCCACATCCATGTCTCCCACCTTCCCTACTCTCTCATCTCATGGATACCTCCAGTTCTTCTGGGAGTACCAGGAAAATTCTGTCATTGTGGAGCATTACAACTACACCGGCAAGCTGCAGAAAGACCGCTACCGTGAGGGACTTAAACCTGAGGGCATTGCATTCCTGGTGGTGTGTCTCCTCATTGTCCTGGAGAATGCTGTGGTTCTCGTCGCCATATGGAGGAACAAGAAGTTCCACCTGCCCATGTATTACCTGCTGGGAAACCTGACTCTGTCGGACCTGCTGGCTGGGATTACCTATATGGCCAACATCATCATGTCAGGACCTAACACGTTGAAACTGACACCGTTGCTATGGTTCCTCAGGGAGGGAGGTGTCTTCATTACTCTGGCTGCCTCTATCATTAGTCTGCTGGCCATTGCAATTGAACGCCATGTGACTATGGTAACTATGAGGCCATACCATGGGGCAAAACGAGGACGGATGTTGGCACTAATTGGTGCAAGTTGGGCCCTGGCAGGGTTTTTAGGGGTCCTCCCAATCTTGGGATGGAACTGCATCCACAGACTTGACCAGTGTTCAACGGTACTTCCACTTTATGCTAAAAGCTACATTCTCTGCTGCGTGTCTGTGTTCAGCGCAGTGCTCCTGGCCATTGTGGTCCTTTATGCCCGGGTTTTCCGAATTGTTCGCACCAACACGCAGCGCCAGCGGCTGGGCCTGTCAGGCAGCATGAGGAAGGGCTTAGCAAGGAAGTCGCAGAAGTACATTGCCCTCCTCAAGACAGTCACCATCGTGCTGGGTGTCTTCATCGCCTGCTGGCTGCCCCTCTTCCTCCTCCTCCTCCTGGATTTTTTCTGCGCCACCCGCAGCTGCAGCCTGCTCTACAAGGCTGATTATTTCCTGGGTGTAGCCATGGTCAATTCACTCCTCAACCCCATCATCTATACCCTGACAAGTAAGGACATGAGGAGAGCCATCCTGAGGCTGCTCTGTCGGCCCTGTCTGATTACCAGAGATGGACAGGTGAAGAAGATTGGGATGCCATTTCTGGAGTGCAGCTTCAGTAAAACTGAGGTAGCCTCCCAGAAGTTAGAGGGAGGACTGGAAACGACCATTTCCTCTGGAAATGTTGTCACCACTCCATCTCCAATTAAAGCTCTTTACCCCAAACTCTTCAAGTCATAAGGACATAGACTGAGTACAAAAGTGTGTGAATGGGTTTCCCACTGAACAGAGGACATGTAGCACATCCTCTATGGAGAGGAAGCAGTTGTGGTATTCTCAAAACTGGAGCAAAGCCAGAAACAGAGACGGCATGCAATTTCATAGCAGCACAAGAGACTTGTGTTTAGACAGATGTCTCTCCTTTGACAAGTCAAAAGTTATGAAGTTACAGCAATATAACGGCATCAGCAAACTTCTTTATAACATAATTACAAAACCAAAGACCATAAGGATGGCACTCAAATGTGAACAGACTTTTTTATGTGTAGGATGCTAGTGATGAGTCTCCTTAACTAATTTGCACTGATGTATCACAATGAATGGAAAAGCAACTTTGGATTGGATTTCCTGTGGTTCTGTAGTCTGTGTTGATGCCTAGAAGGGAACTCAAAGACTGTTGTTGTGACTTAAAAAGCACAGAGCTGACACTCTCTTCCAGACTTGCTGGATTAATGGTGAACAAGTGTAGATTGCTTTTCCTTTTTTTCCCCCTTTTTTGCTTTTTCTTATTGAAGTGCCTTAAATATACAGCACAAATACTCCTAATACTTGTAATGTATAATCTGTGCATTTGCAGACACCTGGATTTCGCTGGTTCGAAGGCCCGTGGTGGACTAAAATTTGTTCAAATAAAATCACCCCTACGTCTATCTGTGTGCGTAATGCGGAGAAACTTACAAGGAAACAGACAGATTATAAGAAAGGGGAGGTGTGGCACTCCCTCCTAACTTCTTGCAAACAGAGCTTGCTGAAGAATGCTGTGGCATAGTGGTGGGAGGGAAGGTGCAGAATTTGAAAAAAATAAAAATAGTTCTGAAATGACAGAACGTTTACATATCTGTTGTGGAAGTGGAAAGTTGTCGGGGTTTGTGTCCGATTGTTTTTAAATGCAGTGAAACTGCTACAACAACAAAATGTCAACATGCCTGTCATGCGATGAACTGATGAATGCAACAAATAAGCCTTTTTTCTGTTGTGACACACTAATAGTTTAACTCCAACTGAGATCAGCTGTGATTGCAACAGTATAAAGTATAAACCCTGTAAATTATGACAAGATTTGCAAATAAAGTTGTGATGCAATGAATCATCATCATCCATCAGGAGCTCTAAGGAACAGAATGTGCCTGCACTTGAAAACTAAATAATATGGAATCAGGACCGACTCAAAGTACAGCTATGCAAATACTTCCATTCACTAGTCATCATGAACATTTCTAGGTGTAGTTAAAGGTACTGAAATATCCTAATTATAAAATGAGTTTGACGTCAGTCTTTTTATACACGTTTTAAGTGCGGCCTTTCCAGACCTTAATTGATGTGCTTTTTTGTACTGAAAATTCATGTTTTGAACTTTATGTATTTCTGAAGACATTTTTACAACATTTGTATTGTAAATTATATCTATTTTGTAACAAAAAAAGGGTAGCTAACTTTACCTTTCTTTTCTTAAAAAAAATAATAAAATGTTTTTCTATAAGACTCCAAGGAGTTTTGGATTTATTTTCATTGTGTGGTGTGCAATGTAACATTCTTTAGTGTATCTGTGTGTACTTCTGCTTGTGTGGTTAAGGTTGTGTGAAGACGTACCACAGGAAGTCAGCCCCCTTGTCTCACATCTGGTAATGGCATTGGCCTACATACATCAAGCTCTGCTTGTCTCAGACTGGCTCAAACACCACACAAAGCACCTTTTTTTAAAACACTGAACACTCAATTTTTCTTTTTCCTTATTCTGTCAACCTGTGGGTTAGATCGACCATCACCTCACTCTGATCTGCTGTCCACACCTGTCATGGCTAAAACTCATATATGGCTGGCTTTAATGTTGTTCGCAAAGAGCCGACTTAGGGCGAAGACAGGGGACACCCTGGACAGGTCCCCAGTCTATCGCAGGGCCACATGTAGAGACAGACAACCAAGCACACTCACATTCACACCTACGGACAATTTAGAATCACCAATTAACCTCAACATGTTTTTTGGACTGTGTGGGAGAACCCGGAGAGAACCCACGCTGCACGGGGAGAACATGCAAACTCCACGCAGAAAGATTCCGGTGCCCCGAACCGGCAACCTTGCTGCGAGGCAACAGTGCTACCAACTGCGCCACCCTGCAGCCCTGTTTTAATTATTAAGACATAAATTGTTGCATTGTTTTCATCCAAACCAAATACATCATTGAATCAGTCAGAGTGTGGGTTGTAAAAAGTATGTGAAGCCCCAGGCAGATGACACATCAAAGCTAACTGGTATCAGGAGTTTGCAAACCTGCAGTCAATAAAACAAGATTAGAGGTGTGGGTTAGAGCTACCTTGCTGATGTGAATCATGCCCTGCATTAAAAGAGATAGGAGAAGACTTGTGATCAAGAATTGTTGATTTCCCTGAAGCTAAGTGAGGCTGTAAAGCAATGATTTAGTTTAGGTATCAATCAGTTCACAGCACATGCATTAGCTTTCATGGAAAAGCAAGTCTACAAGTAGTGGTAGCAGCCTGACAAACTATACAGTTGTTTCACTTTCAGTTTAACCCTTAGTGACCCAAAGACATATTTCTCTACAGTAGGCTACCTGGTAGCACACGGCACTGGAATATCTCTGATATGATTTGTATAACTGCAGGTGTTCCTCCAGATGTTAGCTGTTTCCACCAGCAGTGTGCATGCTGACAAAGGTCAACAAGTCAAGGAACACAACAAACTGGACAGATATAAGTCACAAGTCATCTGTCATGATCACCACCAAGGACAGGCCCTTTGAATCCCAGACAGATGTACCGATGCATGCTGTACTGTTCCTTGCTCACGCCAAGCTTTACCTCGACCACTCGGAAAAATGGTGTACTTTATGAAGGAATATCATGGTACTTATGGTACAGCAGTACGTAGGTGCAGTTTTAACTATAAAAATGAGCTGTCTGTGGTGCCGGTGATAGACTCTTCATCAAAACAATGAGAAAATAGTTTGATCGAATATTCAATAGTTTCACTTAAATACATTACATGCAAACCACCCTAAAAGCACATAAGGAAAATGTAAAGTTCAGTTCCATAAACAAACTCTAAGTATGGTTCCTCCCTGGATCATAAACAGTCTATCGTACTTTAATAATAAAGCCTTTTTGCCCTTCATTGTTCTCCTATGGTAGCTGTGTTGGTCTCCCCTGTGGTCGCATGAGTCTCTCCATAGCCTCGTCTGTACCCACAGATTTCTCCCAGTGGAGGCTGCGACCCAACGTGGACCAGTGTTTGTCCTTGCGAGATGGGCTATGTGGTCTAAAAACACCCACAACCCAGTGTCCCCTGTATAACCCGTCCACCAAAGCACTATGTTTCCGGTGGCCTGTTCCGAGGATTCACAGATTTCATGTCGATATACACACTGAGGCTGGTGTGGGGTCCCACTCCTGTGACACTCAGTCCATCACTCTGAACCTTAACCCCCCTGTAGTGTGGCCTCCATGAACCGCTTGGTTTTACTTGCTTTCTTTTATATGTATGTATGTGTTTATCTTACGCTGATTTTTTAAATGAGTTTTTCATTTTTGTATTAACATTAAAATTATCCCCTGTGTCCCTTGATAAGTGGTTAAAGTCCAAGTGGTTACATTTAAATTAAACCTTTTTCCTTCTGGCATTCATTAAAAATGGGTCACTAAAAATGTTGTCATATTAACAGAAATAAAACATTTCACACTCCAGACTTTTCAGCTATATCCACCAGACCTCGTTCTAACATCAGGTGTATTGAGAAGCATTCAGACATCATTATACTTGTCTAGGATTGCCAATTTAGTGCCCCAAGGCTAACCTCACCTAATTTCTTTGACTGAGTCTTCACAAAGAGTGAGGGCATAGTAATCGCCCAGCTGGGGATTTATAAGTGAAGGCTGAATCAAGGCTTGTCATATGCATCAAGGATTTCCCCTCATTTAGCCTAAGGGAGCAGAGATGTAGACTTAGAATAATTTATTAGGTTTAATCAACTGTGAATACCAGCTCAGGGGCAACAAAGCTGAAATATTTGTTGTGTTATATAGGTGTACTGGCAGCTCATTTCCGAATAATGGACACTCATCTGACTGTATGTAATGTATTTGAGCTTGTAACTTAAAGCGATTCTTTAGGCCTGCAGTCTCATAGTTGGCTTTTGTTGCCACCTTGTGGTTGTTAAACAGAACATAGTATGGAATTGACCTGAACTGCGTATTTTGCAAGACGGGAAAAAATGTAGTTATGTGTCAACACCTGCCAGGAACAAGCAGATTCCTCTCAAGCAGCTATTTGCTGTAGAAGCCATTCACACACATGTTTTCAGAGGAGAAGGACAGTTGACAGGTAAAGTGAGCTGCACTTACAAATAAGGGAGAATTTGGGTGATGGGTTAATTACGAGGCCTTATGTCACTTGAGCACCATTACGTGTTCATTTAACAATAGCATCATCAGTGTAGTTAAACAAAGTAACTTTCTAAGAAAAAGAAACCTTCAGATAACCTTCGAGGCTTCTTAAAGGATACTGTTGTCTGGACTGTGTTTTACAACAAACTGCAGCTTTCTGGTAAAATTCTATGAAAATTAACCATCTGGGGCAAATATCTTCAGTGTTTCTCTTGGCTGGGTTGAGGTTTCAACATTTTTTCATACTGTTTTAAAGTGTAGTTATTGCATTGCCTTTGTTTTTTAATTGTTCCATGATTTTTTTGTACTTAACCCCTTACCATTCCGGGTCATTTCAGTGCAACCGCCTGAAAAATGACATCTCCAAATTAAAATGAATGCTGTTACTGACCCTTATGGAGTATATATAAACTTTGACATTTGTTGTAAAGATAACACTCTCTAGTTTTAGCCAGAGAAATCAGAATCATTCTAGGTGCTACCAGTAAAAAGTTGTTCTATTTCAATCATCACAGAAAAAAATATTTTTTTGATCCTCGCCTAAGTTTTTGGGGTTTTTTTGTTTTTTTTTTAAATAAAGGAGCATAAAGCAGCATTTGGAGGTGGGAACTAAAACACACTGTGTGTCATGCCCTCGACTTCTGGCGCCGGCTAGTGGCTGCTGGATCCTGTTTTTCCTCCCTCTTTGGCTCTCTCTCTCTCTCAGGCACCGCTGGCGGCGGAGCGAGCAAACAGGTGTTTCTCATCGTTAATCAGCTGATTGGCGCCGCAGGATTGGTCCGCTTCAGCAGTTCGTTGTAGCTTAGCTTATTATTCCTGTTTTCCTGTACGTTCGTATTTCAGTTAGTGAGTAACTAGTTTAGTAGTTTATTTATCCGTCCGTATTCTCAGTATTTAGTCTGAACTCCTTTTGTTAGTTGATTAGATTCCTCTCAGCATTTTTTGGTCTGAGCTCCCTTAGTTGATTTGTTTTCAGTTTTGTTTTTGCATACTCAGTATTGTTCTGAGCTTCTTCTGTTCTCACGTTAATCAGCCTGCCTGTTCATTTCAGCACTTAGTTGAGCTCTTTTAGTTATCATCATACCTTAGTTTCTTCCGAGCCAGTTTGTGTCTGGTGTTGGTTGAGCATTCAGTTCTTGTATTGATTTTGGTTTCTCTTTATTGTATAATAAATTCTTAAAACTACTTCGGTCAACTGTGTCTCTGTCGTCTGCGCTTGAGTCTCCGCCCTGCCCATAACACTGTGTGCCAATAGAAAAACTTGTATTGCCCTCATATTTCAAAACTGAAAACAAAATCTGTAACTGATAATCTGACAACAGTTTTTATACTGGTATGTTCATGTTTTTTTTTTTTTTGTTTTTTTTTTTTGAGGGACTGTTGTTTCATCCACATCTATCCAAATTGGACACCACTGAACATGTAAAAAAGAGCAATATCTTTTGAATGCTTGAACCTACAGACATCAGTGAGGGCTCTATTGAAAGCTTATACCCAGAGGAATCCATATCTGGACACAGAGTCACTGTTAGTTACAGAAATTCATATTTCATCAAACACTAAAATATATATTTTTCAAAAAGCTATACTAAGACACTATCAAAACAAGTGTTATGGGCAAGTTTAAATATATATTTACAATTTACACCAACAACAAACACTGCAAACTGTATAATTCAAACTGTACACATATTCTTAGCACTACGACACTTTTCTATGAGCCGCTCATAACAGCCTCTGTCTGAAGAAAGCACACATAATTATTGATTAAAATAACTGTCAAAAAGGTGTGTGCATGATTCTAAAATTCGTATTTATATGTCAATAAAAATCTTGTACCCAAAACTCTGGTTTCACATACGTGAGTCTGAAAAATTGTGTGGATTAGAATTGTTTTCATGCGAGTATGAATTTAAAAGCTGTGAGTGAAAATTCTTGTGAGAACAACTCCAATTTCTCTGACTATGAAGTCTTCTCCTCTCTGTGGACACGAATTCAAGTTAGTGTTGAAAGTGTTGAAGTGACGTCACATGGGAGAGTAGTTGATCTGGCGACTATACCAAACGCTACATGTTCCAAATT